AAAATTAATCTATAAGAGTGTGTGATTGATTTAATTTTATCATCGTGGCTTTGAATATTGTGGTGATCGGTTTTCGGTGTGGTGTGCTTTCGGTGATACAATGTGCGAGCCGCACCTCGATTTGAAAAAATAATAGCGAAGGGTATTATGGCGAGGTCCGGATGGATGGAAAGTGTTTTATTAGTTTCGGTTTGTGTTCTGTTTGTGATCAATTGTGCAGGAGGTGATCAGGATGAGGATATACCGCATAATGAGTAAGTTCATATAATGGTTTGGTGAAATAGTACAAGATCGCTCCACCGTACCAGGGTGTAAAGCAACTATTATATATATCAATCATAATAGCCTAAGGAATCGTGTTAATTGAATACCTTAAATTGCTTGATCGATTTTATATATATTTTTTTAGTACGATATATAAATTTTAATTACCGCGCTTTATAATCAATTTCACAAAGGAGTCACACAGACTCCTTTGTGAGTCTGACAAAAACAGAGTATGTTTTCGTCAAAAAATCCGATTTGCTAACTTTGTGCTTTCTTGGCGTTTCTAGATATTCTAAAACGTTTGAAACCAAATTTAGTACTTTAGCATCGTGCCTTAAGGCAAATTGCTGGAACTTCCCGTACCAAAAATTATTATTTTTTTAAAAGATTAACATTTTTGAAAAATTACTCTGAAAAATTAGATTTTTGAGAAACTATAAATTTTTGACAAAATTTACTTTTTTTTGAAAAAAAGACTTTCTGAAGAAAAGTGTATTTTGAAATATTTTGGAAATTCTGAACTTTTTTTCAAAGCAATCGTACTGCTTTAACTGCATAGAGACGAAATATCGAAGCGCGTAAGCGCCGCGTCTAACGTATATACATTGGTACGGAACACATAGGAATGTAAACAAAATTTATACTCATTATTAAAATCTCTATAAAATATCTGATAATTTAATGTGCATATGTCTAATGATCATTTTAGACGGCCAGATGGTATTTTTTTTATTAAATCTCCGAAACCGCTAGACCTGCCTTCATGAAAATTTGATCAGTTCTTCATCTTGTCAATGCAATGTTTTTTGAATTATTCAAATCGGACGCTCAGTTCTCTTAAAAACTGAGTTACCGTTTTTGGCACTTTTTGCCCCATATCTTCGGAACGGCTAGACTTCTTTATCAATACGAATCGAATGTTTTTTGAATTATTCAAATCGCTTCATCCGTGTTCCCGAAATCGTCGACGAAAATTTATATATTTATATTACTATAAATTACCCTACGGGAAGTTAAAAAGTGTATGTACTAAGTCAATTTTTTGTCTTTGATCTACCTTTTCTCAAGTTAAAAAATTTAATGATTGTATGTTAAAATCATGCGATTTTGTGGAAGTTATTATTGTTTCAAGTTATTCTGAAACGTTTGTACTGTTTAGTCTTTTGTCGAAGTTTTCTAAAAAAATACTGAGATTCTTTTAAAATTATAACAAGTTAAACTGCAAAATTCTTCCTCCACAAAACATTCTAAACCTGTTTCAAAAATGGAAAGGGTTGGAAAGCAACTATTCAATCATAATTATTTTGTTCCATCGTAGAATATTATATAGTTTCTCGTAAAGCAAGTGCTGAATCGATTTTATTTTTATTTTTTCAAAATTCATATTTGTTTATAACCTTTTTTACTAAACTATATTTATACTAAGCCTTGAGTACATTATTTTTTAACTTCCCCAAAGAGACTTTTTTATCCCGCCAGAAATTCTCGATTCGATATCGTTTACTAACCATAAATTATATTTAAAACAATTTATTCCAATAACACATGCAAATTGGTGAAATATAGCATTATCTACTCTATATTGATTATTTTCAACAAAATTATATCGAAGCACAATTAATTGTTTATAAAATATCGATCTTAATGAAATATGCAAAGGTGTAATATGTAGCTCAATTTACATATGAGCAGTTTATTCCTGTAATTGTTCGTAAAACAGGAGCTTAAACGATTTTTTTTAATAAAACTTGTAAAGACTTTTGGGTACCTTAAAATGTTACAATAGTAAATTTTAAAATACACCGAATTGCTGTAAGGATCTCGAAAAATATAATACATACTTTAATTTTGTACAAACTATTTTACCCATCTATTGCTATTATTTACTGCACTGTAAATAAACTAGTTAGTTAATAAAGGATAATCAATTATTTATCATAACCATTTACAAGATTTATTAAATAAATATATAAAATTTATTTAGGTTATTTAAATTATGTCATTTATTAAAAAAGGGGTAATTAACTATAAATAGTACAGATTCAATTTTATTTAAATATATAGAAAAACGAAGCACGTGCTTTGCAAACGATTTAAATCACTCTTCTAAATGTAATGAAATAAAGTATTAACTTGATATAGAGCAATAATTAAATATTCTTTAATTAATTCTATAATTAGAAAAATAGTTGTTTTTTAATAATATATGATATATTTTAATTACGACGTTTAATAAATTTTTCTGTCAATTAATAAAATAGTAGCAACATATTCTTTAATTAAATATAATGCAGATTGGCTAAATGTTTTAATAACAATGTTTTTAACTAATAAAAATCAATAAAAATACAGCCAATAAAAAACAATTTATAAGTTGATTTAGAAAAATTTCAAACCGAATAAAAATTTGTTCTACAAACTTGTCTCATTCGATTTCACATTTTTTTAATACAACTTGAGATTGATTGCATTACTGGTATTGTAATCTTACAATCTCATTACTATTGATGAAAAATTACAAGTTTTATTAGAGTAAAAATATAAATCGTTTAGGAACTTGTTTTACGAAGAATCAAAGGAACTCCGGAATAAACTGATAATATAGTCAATACGCAAAATGGAGCTACATATTATACTTTACATATTTTATTAAGACTCATGTATTTTAAAACTACATACATAAAATTATTTCACTTTAAAGTGCATTTGTATTAACAAATTTTGAACAAAATTGTACAACATTAATTAAACACTAATTATAATAAATTAATAAAACTATAACAACTGGCTATGCTTTTAAATCCTTATTAAATATTAAAATGTAATCTAAAGTGTCTCTTTTTTAAATATTCGTGTTCTAAAATTTTAAATCCTTTGTTTAATATGAATATTGTATTTAGGAAAATTGTTTAAAAATAAATTAAATTATGTGTCTTATAAACCTGCATAAACTTTTCTGACTAAAGTGAGATGATCAAAAATATGTTATAAAAATTTTGAGTAATATAATTTATATTAACTAGATATTTTAAATATAATTCTATGTATTTAATATATACTTATATACTTTACGATCCGTTCATAAATTTTAATAATGTATTGTTAAACTTTTTGAATTAATTTTAATAAATATTAAATACAAAATTAAAGGTTATTGCACAGCAACTTACCAAACGAAAAGTATTTATTTATAAGTAATTTATAAATAAATATTGGTTTTGTTATAGAATTTGTACTAATTATATCTTAGTTAAAATTAAAAATAAACAGAATTCCAATTTATAAGATGAATTTATTATAATTAATATATTAATAAAATTCGCTGAAGCTATTTTTAATTTGCCATTTATTATCAAATTTTCTACATTTCAAATGAAGCAAAACTGCTTTTTAAAATGTATAATAAACATACATTTTTATTCTATAAATTTTGTATATACATTTAGTTAACTTTTTTTCATTAATTTTGTATATACATTTAGTTAACTTCTATTGAAATGGCATTAAATATCTATTAAATGAAAATTTATATTATCACATATATTTATAAATTATAGTTTTATCTAAATATTTGTAAAGTTTTGAATGTTAAATATTTAAAAAATGTTTTAAATGTTGAGTAAATAACAGCCATCTATTTTCTTTAATACGTTGTAAAAATAAAAAAATAGATGTGATTAGATTTTCTACATGTATTCAGAGTACTAAATTACATAATAAAATCGTCATTTCAAGTTCTGTGCAATAAAACAGGATAGAATTCAAGCAAATAAAATGTAAATTATTTTATGGATTCAAAAACCCAAGTTTTGATTTAAATTTTTTTTAGAACTGTGTAAAGGAATCTCTTCTTTTATTCACGAATGTTAACGACGGAGCATTTTAAATTGTTAAATTGTAAAAACATTATAAAACTAAATTAAAAATGTTATAATATTTTTTATACTACTTGCTTGCAATCATAAAAAAATGTATCGAAATTATATTCAAAAAATATTGAATTTTAAAATTGTTAGCTCGGTTTACATGAAATATCTAATTTATATTTTATTAATTAAATAACTGAGTTAATATTTTTGTTATGTTTTATTAATTTGTAGCTAAAGTTATTATAACCAACCAATTTTATTTTTTCATAAGTTTATAAAATTTAATTCAGTTCTTTAATAATATTACTAATTTAATTTTCAATCATTTCAATTAAAACAAAATATAATAATCAGCATAATTTAAATATAATAATCTTGTTTGATATTAATATATAAAAAATAAGATTTAAAATTATAAAATACTAATATATCATTAATATATATCACCGGTGATCATTAGCAAGTAATTTTTAGAACTAATAACAATAAACAATCGGTGGATGTTGTTAAATAATACAATACTAAATAGGTAATTTAATTAGTTTTAAATACATTAAAGTGATAAATAAATAAATAATGATACATAAACAATATTAAAAAATTAATAGCCTAAAAAATTTATTTAAAAAAAATTAATAGTTATATAAATTTAAGTCCAAGCAAAATTAAACACAAAAGTTTCACATTTTTAAATGATTTGTGTTATATTAATAAATTGAGTGTTTTTATGTGTGTAACAAAATATGTATAAATATGAATATTCTTATTCGTAGAGATATATATATTATTTATGGTAAATACTAACATATTTTTCTATTTTCCAGGGTGAAAAATTGGGCGCTGAAATTTGGCGTCGATTTGTGGGAGTTTGGAAGGCAGTTTACGAAAATGAACGAAATTCAAAGGGTAAGCTATAAAAATATTATTAAAATGATAAAAATAAATTTTATTAAATAATTTCATATTATATTTAATATAATATTCAATTCTATGACACAAATTTAAATGATTGAACATTATATTTTGCATAAATTTCACTAAATTAATGAAACATAAATAAATATCTTATTGGTCGTTAATAATTTTTGGATATATAAACTTTATTTAATTTTTGCAAATCATATTTAAGGCTTGGATATTAACTTGTCTAATATAAAGCATGGCTAATTTATTAATTTTTTAATTTTTTTTATTTAGAAGTACCACGATGACCCCTTAGAAGTTGTTCGGAAGGATGGATTAATTTTAATAAGAGAAATGGCTTCGGAGGTCAAAAACATGATGGACTTTAAAATGAGCGCCGTAAAGGTAATTTAATTTTTAATTTACACATAAATATAATATTAATATATTATCCTAATATTCTATTAAAAGTACAATACGTTTCATAATAGCTTTACACTAGAAGAAGTTCTTTGATTTACAGATGACTTGAATTTCTTTACGATAATTTGTCAAATCACTAAATTATTTATAAAGTTTATCAAAAATTTTTCTCAAGCTTTAAAACAAAATCAATGACTTTGATTTCTCTTTTGAAATGCTTTTGGATCGCGCAATTAGTCATATTAAAATTTTAATAACAAACTAGAATTCTTCACCACCTACTGATATAAATATAAAAAATTTGTGTATTAGTGTGGTCCTTAATATGGATATTATTAAATTTACTTGCTCCCAGGGACTCAAATGCTTCTATATTGATAAAAAACAATGTGCTGAAAGTTTTAGCTCTTAATATTGACTTTAAGATAGTCTGCACTCCAACCAAAGTTTCTTATAGAAATAATAAGGGTAAAATTTTATTTGTTTAATAACCTAGCGACAAGTGAATCAAAATTTTGACAATGACATTTATTTTCTTATTTTGATCATAAATAAAAAATTACAACAAACATTTTATATATTTTATAAAATAAGGAAGAAAAACCAATAATCTTTGGTTGAAGTGCGAATTATCTTAAAGTTAATATTAAGACTTAAAACTTTCAGAGATTTTTTTATCATTCGAGCCCCAGGGTGTAAAGAAATTCGAAAACATCCATATTAAGGACCACCCTAGTGTGTATATTATAAATTAATATTATTAATATTTATGTGTCGTGTATTCATACGAATAATGCGTAGAGGGACGAAAGGGCGTCCCTCCTTTGCCTTTGTTGTTTACTCTCTGTCAACATAAATCGTGATTTAATTACACGCTCCTCTGTGTTTTGCTTTCTGGCGAGGCGAGGAGAGGCGATAAATTCAAAGGCTTTTTTGATTTTATCAAACTTATGGTGGAATTCATACATAATAATATATATACTTATGTATACAAATTTATATATATACAGGGTGTCCCAGAACTCAACGTAAAGCTAAAACAGGTTTGGGGGCGTCCATTAATCACGTGGGGCTTTTAGGGGGTGTTTGACAAAAAATCACGTGGGGGAAGAAGGGGTCTAGTTAGATTTTTACCTGAATTGTCAAAAAAAAACAAAATTCAACGTTTTCTCGGAAAATTTTACGTTATTAAAAATACAAGCAACTTTTGGTGGAAAAGGTGAGGGTAATTCTAAATATTACGAAGTATCACCAAGGGGGTTCAAAAATTTCTAAAATCCCACTTGTTAGTATTGTTTATAACTAAATAGGAAAAAAAATGTTATCTCAAGTTGCTTGGAATTATGAGCTTTTAAGAATTTTGGTGAAATTGTGACTGTTTTTTGGTTATTGTGGTTATTTTATTAACTTCCCGTAAGGGAGAAGTGGTTATTAGTTTTTGGCAAAGGTAGGACCAGCGGTTTCGGAGATACAGAGCTCAATGTTAAAAAATGGCAGTTTTTGAGAGAACTAAGCATCCGATTTGAATGATTCAAAAACTGTTTTCTTGTTTACAACAAAATAATTGCTTTAAAAAAAATCTGTTTCAATTTTTATTTAATTTTTTTGTATATCAAAAATAATTGAGATTTTAATTTTAATTCTGTCTAAAGTTCTAAAGCTCACTTACATACTTTAAATAATTAATTTAAATTTTGTAATTCAGTTAAGTTGTAGCAATTTGCCATACACTTTTTTACACGTTTTTAATAAAAATATTTTTCGCAATAATTAAATAATTTTTTTATGGAAATAGAAATCTCAATTTATTAAGTCGAATATTAATAGGTATAGGGATGTCCATGCAACTTGCTTTAAGGTAAAAAATACCACTTGCAGCTAGTTAATAATATTGTTTGGGTGAACACACCACTCTTCACAATATAATTATGTTTTATTCCGTTTAAAATATCTAGATTTTGATATTTATGACTGACATTTCACTCTATTTTTTTCCAATATCATATATTTTAAAGTCATATATTCCACATAATTTCAAGCCCGGGAGAATGTTTACGCCAAATGACAGTATACCATAATATGACATAAAAATGATCAATTTACACGATCGCAAATCTGTACGCATTTGTTACTTACAATTTGTCAATAATACAAAAATACAATACAATTACATTCAACAAATAGTGTAATTTACTTCCAACTAAAGCATTATAAATAATAACTGAAGCTTGGTTCTTTATTTTGTGTGAATAGAGATTTTTACAATTGTTAAGCAAATCAAATTTAAAATCAGTTCAGTAGTTCATGAGATTATTTGGGACAAACGTCGTGACAAGTCCTTTATATATACATACTTTAAACATGTATAATATATATGTGAATGTCTGTTTATATATATATACATTGTATAATGTAAATATATGTTTAATTAATTGCTGCATGTTTGTATATTTGATAAATACCACAGAGAGTGTATTTGCAATGGAAATTGCATAAACATATTTTAATTGGAAAATGTAAGGTTTCGCTCATTCATTGGGTTTCTTTTGCTTTCATTGAGTAATTAACTTTGTACAGAGTTAATTAAGATATACATACAAATATTATATATATATATATATATATATATATATATATATATATATATATATTATATATATATATATATATTATATATATATATATTCTATTTTATTAAACGATGTTAGAGTTACAAACGTTTCCAGAGTATAATTTGTAAATAAATTAAGCAAAATTATATCAACATAATAATATTTATATATGGTCCAATCAAACATATCTTAGCATTTCCATTTTAATAATTAGATGGATGTCTGAATTAAAACTTTGTTGTTTACTTTTACATAGCTTTTATCATCTGAAGAACCATTGCATATACGAGTACATAAAACTAACATTAGCAAATGTTGTGTTACTTTTCGGTTTTTATTTGTTAACCAAATATTTTTATTATGAAACTATCATGTATGGTACTAATTTACAATCCTGATTAAATTCTTTAATTTTTGTTAAAACTTGCTAACATACTTTAGAATATTTTTTTAAAGGAGGGCCTCTCAAAGTTGATCGATTTAAATAATTTTAAAATTGTTCAACAAAAGGGCTTAATTTTTGAACCTTGAGGTAATTGAATCATTATTTTGGACTGTGGCCCTAGAAATGTTATTTACAATTACAGATTCAAAGTATAAACTAGTGGTGTATGGCATCGTGCCTTAAGGCAAATTGCTAGAACTTCCCGTAACGTAATGAAATATTCGAGAAATTTTAAACGTTTTCAAATATATTATTACAAATACTGTAACTTTCATAATTTTTGCTATTTGTTATATCTGAGCAATCAAAATCAAATGTGAATCATAAATCAATTTATTCCAGAATATTAACAATCGTCATTTCATTTCGAATTCAATTTCTAAACGCATTTGCAAATAATTCTGTGCGACATTTTCACTTATACTGTGCTTAGCTTGGCGGCATTTTCACATTTTCACATTTTTCAATAGTTTTCACAAAATTGGAAAAGTGCTTCATTACATAAACAGTCTAAACGCACTTGGGTAAACATTTGTACCAGAGTGGCGCTTAGACTGTGCTTAGCCTGGGTCATTTTTTGAATTTTTAATCCAAAATTACTTAATTAATATTGAAAAAAAAATAGAAACAAATTTTTTTTTTCCAAAAGCAATTATTTTGTTGAAACAAGCAGAAAGTTCTTTAAATCATTTAAATCGGACGCTTAGTTCTCTCAAAAAACTTTTTTCAACATATAGCTCTGTATCTCCGAAACCGCTGGGACTACCTTTGCCAAAAACTAATAACCACTTTTCCCCATCATTACGAACTGAATGTATTTTGGATCATACAAATCGGATGATCCGTTCTCTCAAAAACTCGATTTCTATTTTCTGCACTCTTTGCTCTATATCTCCGTAACGACTGGACCTGCCTTTGCCAAAAACTAATCAGCACATCTCCCTATCAATAGGAATCGAATGTTTTTTGAACCATGAAGTCGGTTGATCCGTGCGCCCGAAAACGTGGACAAAAAAATGCGGACATACAAAAACACGCACACACACATCTATTTAGTTTCTGAGGTATGCCAGTAAAATGTTCAGAAACCTTCAAAACGTCGAGAAATGCAAAAATTTTCATTTCGATTTTCGGCCCATTACTATAACTATCCACATTTTTAATCTTTCTTGTTTATGGTTAGTTTTTCTAAAATTTGGTCTTGTATCTCGGCTTTCAAGTGTACTTTTTCCCGCCTTCTCGAGAAGAATATGCTTTCATTTTTGTTCTAAGTCTTTTTTCTAGATTCTGATACTAGGTTACAATCCAAATAATATTGTAATTGGATATATATATATATATATATATATATATATACATTATACATATATAAATCTGTTTGTCTACAAAGCATCGTAGAGCACTAGAACTCTAGAATGCGGTCGCCTTAACAAAGCGACGTCGCCGTCTTGAGAGAAAATGTCGCGACGGCTACGGCTACGGCTACGGCGGAGAGAGAGTATTCCGTCGAATCGATATTCAACCCTCCACCTCTGCACATACGTCGGGGGATCACCATGGGCGCCCCATCGTTCTATTAAGCCCCCCCTTTCGGAGTTAAGATGATGAGCGAGGTGGGAGATGAGCGCCACCTCTCGTTCACTAACGGTTTTAATACACGAGGAAAAGATAGAAGGCAGTAATAGTTCAATAGAATTACTAGTGGTGTATGGCATCGTGCCTTAAGGCAAATTGCTGGAACTACCCGTACCGTAACGAAATGTTCGAGAAATTTTAAACGTTTTCAAATATATTATTACGAATACTGTAACTTTTATTATTTTTATTGCTATCTTGTTTGTTATATCTGGGCAAATCAAATGTAAATCATAAATTAATCAATTTATCTCCAGAACATCAACAATCGTCATTTCATTTCGAATTCAATTTCCAAAAAATAGTTGCCTCTAATTTGTACAAAATTGAAAAAGTCACAGTCTAAACGCATTTGCAAATAATTCTGTGCCACATTTTCACTTAGACTGTGCTTAGCTTGGCGGCATTTTCACATTTTTTCAATAGTTTTTCACAAAATTAGAAAAGTGCGCCAGTACACGTTTTTTTATATTTAAATAGACCTGGTCATAGTTCTAAAAATATTTTTAATTTTTTTTAATGTTTAAAATTGGTTCAGGATTTTTGCAAAAACGCGGATATTAATTTTTGCATTTTTCTGCTAATTCCGAAAAAACGGCTTGGTCGATCGTCTCACAAACCTAATCAAGGCCTCTCCTTCTTATAGAGTTTTCATAAAGAACTTTTAAATTTTTGAAATCAGAGAAAACGTCGATGAAAAGTAAAACTAGTGGGGTGTGTGGCATCGTGCTTTAAGGCAAATTGGTGGAACTTTCCGTACCGTAACGGAATGTTCAAGGAGTACTGAATGTTTTCAAACAGATTATTAGAAATATTGTAACATTGTCTAATATTTATAAGAATTATATAAACTGAATTGCAAAGTTGAAATTATTTGTAAGGTATATTAGAACTATAGTCAGAATTAAAAATAAAATTTGAATTATTTTTGATATACAAAAAAAAATTTTTTTGAATAAAAAAGGTTGAAACAAAATTTTTTTTCCCAAAATCAATTATTTTGTTAAGACAAGCAGAAAGTTCTGTGAATCAATTGAATCGGATGCTTAGTTTTTTCAAAAACTGCCATTTTTTGTACATTTAGCTCTGTATCTCCGAAATGGCTGGGCCTGCCTTTGCGAAAAACTAATGAACACTTCTCCCAATCATTACTAATTGAATGTTTTTTTGATCTCTCCGAACGAATACTCCGTTCTCTCACAAAGTCGATTTCTATTTTCTGCACTCTTTGCTCCGTATCTCCGTAACGGCTGGACCTGCCTTCGCCAAAAACCAATCAGCACATCCCCCTATCAATAGGGATCGAATGTTTTTTAACCATTCAAATCGGTTGATTCGTGCGCCCGAAAACGTGGAAGAAAAAATGCGGACATACAAAACACACGCACACATCCATTTTCGAGGTATACCTTCAAAAGTCGAGAAATGCAAAAATTTTCGTTTTCGATTTTCGGCCCATTACTATAACTTACCCTACGGGAAGTTAATAATTATAAAGCACGTTCTGTTAATCCAAATTGTTACGGCATTGCTTCGATTTCCATGTTGATCAATTGTTTATAGTTCATACTCGTATATGACATCTATCTATTTTTCAGCGAATAATGGATTCAGCAGAACAAGCGGCCTTATCTTCCCTCGACCAATCAGACAACGCACAAGCGATCAGATCGCGCCCAAAACGAGCCACAAACGATGTTTCATATATCAGCACCAGCACCAGCACCAGTAGCAAAGTCCAAAGTAAATATCGAAAGGAGCAGGATCATCGGACGAGGAGGAAGCGATCGAACGACGAGGACGGCCTGGACGACGACTATTATGGTAAAAAATAATAGACAAAAGTTTACTTCTTACACTTCTTCTTATATATAGAACCAGCAAACCCGACGAACTCCGTTTCGCCACCAGATGGTTTCGTGAGAAAGATGAAATTTTTTGTTTGTTTCATATTTGAAAAGGAAAAATTTGATTTTATTACACAACAGTAATGAATTTATTTCGATTACAAAAATAAAGTGTTTTCTAGTTGAACTTCTCTAAGTAAATGAAAGTGAATCCGCAAATTATCCGTTTCATTGAAGTGCTCTTTCGTAAACCACATTTTTTGTTTTTTGGTCTGACGTTAACACAAACAAAGCGGATGGTTTTCCAACTCGTGAACAGGCAACGTATAACTGCCCATGTGAAAAACAATGATTTTCTAAATAATCTATTTGAAATTTATCCCGCAAACACTAAGCGATTGGCCTTGAGACTTGTTATTGCGAACGCAAGGCGAACTGGAAATTGCAATCGTTTGAAGTCAAACGGAAGACCAGTCGGAATCATTGGTATGTCACTAAATCGTCAGCAATATTTGATTGAATGGTGAAATTCAGTGCGTGTACATCATTATTCTTTGCGGCAAGAATTGCTCGTTGACTTAATTGCAAGCATAATTCTGATAATTCTCACTAATGTCATTACTCGAATTTTTAATTACGTTGCGTGAAGTTCCAGCAATTTGCATTAGGGCACGATGCAAAATTGTCGAAATCGGTTTGTGCGTTCTGGGGTTATATCGTCAGGAAGGAAAACCCGGTTTATTTTTATATATTTGTGTAGATAAGTCATGATACAGCACCTTGTTCGTTTCTGCATTTTGAATAATTTTATATAAGAGTCATATTAGTATAGGGAGCATCCTTTAGTCACGTGACCTTTTAAGGATATTTGGATCCCCCCTCCTCTTCGGTGATTTGTGGTGATAATCAAAATTACCCTTTCTCCCCCACGTGTATTTTTAGTTACGAGAAAAAATTGTAAAGTTTTTTATTTATTTTTTTAAAGTTCGAATTTTTTATAAAAAATCAGGTAAAAAATAAATTACGTGATATCTTACTATACCCTTCCCTCCCTCACGTGATATTTCGTGATTTTTTGTCAAACCTACCCCCCCCCCTTTCCTAAAATCCACACGTGATTAATTGACGCCCCCTAATCGCAATAGTAATAGTAATAATATTTTCACTAGTTTATTATTAAAATTTTCCGTAGCTTTTGGAAAAACTTAAATCTTTCTGCAAAAAAAAATTAGTAAGGGTTGCCCATCCCTATATTTTTTTCTATTTTTTTAATCATTTTCTTCATTTTTTATAATGCTGAACTATGTGTGGTGCAACCTTAAATTTTCACACTCGTACCACAATTTTCTGTTTTATAATAGCATATTTTCATCCCACTTTATAACTGATAAATTATTGTCTTGTAAATTTTTCTATATGGATTTTCTCTAGCTTACAAAAAAACTGCAAAAAGCAATTTATTAGGAATTTTCCCAGAAACAATTTATAACGGAACAAAATTTGCCGGGTCAGCTAGTATATATTATGTATATATGTATATTTTTTTTTTACTTTTAACAGAATCAGAAAGCAGTCCAGCTACCAGCCAGTGGCAATTTTCAGAACATTTTGATAATATGAAAATAAACGTCACGAAGAGCGAAATTTTGATGGCAAATGACGTTGCACGTGACGGTAAGTAGAAATATAAGTTTATTTTATACAATTTTTATTTTAAAGAAATGTTGATGAAACTTTTGATAAAACAACTTATTTGTAATAGAGCGTTGCTATATTAATTCAAAGAAATATAATGGTAGGTATTAAAAATAATTTGTCAGGATCTCTTGTTTCAACCACTGTTGCCTTATACTTTAATTTGGAGAAATAGAGAGAAAATTAAATAATAAAAAATAAAATAAAAATATCTATTTTATCTTATTAGAATCTGTTCCAACTTACTTTTGGTGAAGTAGAGTAACAATATGTGCCAAGTGCCAAGTTTCATCAAAAATTGCAATATGCGTTTTAGTGCAATATCTTTTTAAATATTATTAGTATTGAGCGCAGAGCCAGCGACCCATCAACCACGCATATCTCGAAAACCATTGAAAGTTTCAACTTCAAATTTTGGTCATATTTTTGTAAGGTACAATAACAATATGTGCCAAGTTTCATCAAAATCGCAATATGTTTTTTGAGAACATACCATCTGTTTAATTTAAATGTTAGTACTGGGCGCGGAGCCAGCGACCCATCAATCGTGCAAATCTCGAAAACCATTGAATGTACCAATTTTGAATTTTGGTCACATTTTTGGTAAGATGCAATAATAATGTGTGCCAGTTTCATCCAAATCGCAAAATGTGTTTTTGAGAACATACAACATACAACGTTTGTGAGAATTAATTTTATATATTTTATATATTTGTTTAATGTATTTATTGCCTTCAGTGTATATATATAAAATGTATTCAGTTTATTAAATTAAATATTAATTTGTTATATTTTTTTTAGATCCGGCTGTTCAAACAGCAATAAGGTGGTCGAGTCACCTAGAGCCCCTTTTTGCGAGCAATTACGAAACCGACCCTGCACTTTCTTGGCAATATCTGGGCACTTCTGCAGGAGCCCTAAGAAGGTATCCTGCTTCCGAAAGAAGTTTCATGATGGATGGAAAAGGGGAATCAGGGATAAAAGATTATCGATCTACCAGGTAATATATATAATCAGGCTGGCTGTTGGTTGATATCATTAGGTTTGGTGTTACGCTAGTTACTATGTTAAGCCCCAAGGTTTGAAAGAAAATTTTTATATTTATTCGAACTTTTGTAATATTTTATATAATTAATAAATTCAATAGAACTGACATAAAAGGTTTCAGAGAGCACTATAAAAATGCATTTTTCATTATTATTTGAAATGATTCGATAACAAAATAATGCAACTAAATTTATAGTGCAAGAACAGCAACTTGCCTGTAGGCAAATCTGAAACCACATATTGCATGCGATATTCTGACGTATTAAAAAGCTGAATACGAATCATAAGAAGATTCATCAATTAAAACAAATTATTTGATTGAAAATTTGTTTTGATTAAGACTAATATCTACAAAATAAATATGACTTTATCTTCTCTATATTCATTGATCTTTTTGGTTAACTTCTCTATATAGTTTTCAAACATAAAAACCAAGTTTGTTTATTAATAAAGACTAAATGTAAAAAGTACCTGCTTAATATATTTTGAATTATATAAAGAGCTATAAAATATAAAACTTAATACTTACTTTCAATATGTTTCGAAAACCAGTAGTATCTTTTCAATAACTGGTAGCTCCGAGCTTTTTATTTTAGCACCCTGGATTTAAAGTAATTAATTTTTTACTTATTCAACACATTCTACTTATATTAATAACTATTTAAGAAACTTTTCAAGAAATAAACATTTTTTAATCAATTGTATTTTTCAACTGTCAAAACAACAACCATTTTTTCATCAGTATTTTTGCATGTGCACCAACATAAATCATAATGAATCTCATGAAGTAGTTTTGTTGATGAAGGTTTAATTCAATTAGCAATTAAAAGATTATTATTATATATTATTAAGAAAATATCTAACTTAAAATATTTATTTGAAGTAAATACTATTATCTAAATAAATATGATTTTATAATTAGTGTTTTTCAAAGATCAACACAACGATGTTCACATTGGAATCTTTACATGAGCACCAACATTAATCGTGCGTGAAGTTGTTTCGATACACCCGCGCGTATAAAATTTATATTTTAATTTGATTTAAACACTGAACAATTAAATGTTTATTATTGTATATTTGTTCTAGTTTATTAAAACAATTGTCTTTTACTCAGGTGGTATATCGATGCAGCAACGTCTCCAAAAGATGTGGTCATTTTATTGGATGTCACTTCGCATAAAGTGACGCAAGGGACTTCGTCCGGTGCAACTGTCACCGCCATTTTAGACTCTCTTGGCGATGACGATTTTGTGAATGTTTTTGCTTATTCTGGGGACATCAGGCCGGTAGCCACGGTAATAAATAACACTTATAAGTAATAAATCAACTAAATACATTTGGTGTAACTTGCTGTTCTGTTTTGATGAAAATTTTATGATCAAAGCATCTAAGAATGGAGATCTTGAGGAAGATTATTACTACTTTCTTTTATTAAAATATATGTGCATACACACTGTATTTTATTTGTTAGTCATTCACATTGTGTGTGGTGTGTGAGTAAGAAGTCACAGTTAATATTTTTGCAAATAGTTCATTCTCTAACCTATTTAACAATGCAAACATTTAAACCTACATATATACATATAGATTAATGTACCAATATAAAAGATGAAATGTAATAAAATCATAGTTTTGACCTTCTATTTTGTTTATTCTAGTGTTTAGGAGGAGGTCTAGTATCTGCTCATGCAGATAACAAAAGGGTCATCCTGAATGCCTTAAACGGACCAAAAGATCAATGGTCAGATTTGACGAGCAAAAATGTCAACTTGACAAAAGCTTTGGATTTTGGCTTCGACATACTGTACAGGGTAAAAATAGACAATTTTTACGTTTATATTATTTAAAAATGGTTACCTGGTTCAATATAAAAGAGCTTAAAAAATCAACCCTCTTTAAATCTACAAGATGAATGAAAATTCTGATGGACTATTTATGAAACTATTAGGAAAACAAAGATTATTAACACATAATAATAGAATATAACTTATATTGATTATAATATTGCCTAAATAAATAAAAACGTTATTCGGGCATATGAATTGTATTTTATCTATTCTATCAAATGATTTATCCTATTGAAGAAAACAGTAAAGTAAACCTCACATCACTTTGTTAACACTTATTTCTGTATATTATATAATAACTTTTATAAATACTACTTTATATGATAAGAAATATTTTTATAGTACACTATAATTTGTGTTACTAATTTATAAGAATTTTACAATCTATTATATAAATTTCTTTTATATTTATATTTATTTTTCTTTTTAGTACAATCGAACAGGAGCAGGTTGCCAATGCAACCAAGCGATAACTTTGGTATCATCTGATGTACAAGTGGCCCCTCGACATGTGTTCCAGAAACATAATTGGCCACACATGCCAGTACGTGTTTTTGCTTACGATGTTGGCAAAGATAAAACTACGAGGGCTGAAATGCATTGGATGGCCTGCAGCAATAAAGGTAATAAAATATAATATAATATATATATATATATAATATATATTTATATGTATATATTATATATATATATATATATATATACATAAAATAAATCAATAATTATTTTAATTCAATGTTGATATAAAGTTATTAGAAACTGAATTTACAGAATATTTTCCCAAAGTCAAAGTTAGTTATAACTATTTCTAAAATTTTATAGTTCTTCAAATTTGTTGAATATATGCTGAATGAGCTACATTTTTTATTCATATCCAAAAATATATAATATACAAAAACATTTTCTATAGAAAACTAGATACAACATTTTTATTGTGTTATTTTAAAACATTCTTATTATTAGATATGGTTTCTCTATCGAATCAATTATAAGCAATTAAAACATTTTTTAGGTTTTTATGCCAGAATTTCAACACCAGAAGAAGCTCCTTCTAAAGTGTTGGATTTTATATCAGTAATGGCCAGGCCGATGGTTATGTATCAGAATGATCATCCTATACAGTGGTCCCCAGTTTTTGTCGCTGGACAGGTCAGTTTGATAATAAATCTGAATATAATTACATATTTATTTAATTTTACTTGTATGGAAAAAAAAATTAAAATAAATGTAACATGTGTTTTGTATCTCTTGTAGAACGAAGATGGTTCTCATAGATTGATGACATCTGTGAGTACACCAGTATTCGACAGGAGAAATCACACTGTAAGTAGATTTATATATATTTATTATATATATATATATATATATATATATATATATATATATATATATATATAATAAATATAGTTTTATAATATATAAATTATTATTTCTAGGTAAGAGTGGCCAATTTGTTAGGAGTGGCTGGTACTGATGTACCAGTGGATCAAATAAAGAAACTAGCACCAGAATATAAGGTAAATTTATTATTAAATTAATCATTTATTTATTTATCTGTATTTTATTAATTTTTTTACAAATATATTTTTTTTACAGTTGGGTGTGAACGGTTATTCATTTATTGTCAATAATAATGGACACGTGTTGTACCATCCTGGACTCAATCCACTGGTAAATATATTAATATATTATATTGGTGATATTATTAAGAAAATTAAATAATATTCTATTTTTTATTCGTGGATGCAGCTTGGTAAAAATAAGGTATGGTAATTTATACTTTTAAATCTCTTTAAATTTCATTCACTTCAAACACTTCATGCAATATAAATTTTACTAATGTATAAATTTAAAATATTAATACTAATTGCTATTTATGTTTTAGACAAAATTTAAATTTATATTTCTGAATAAATCTTGTACATTTCTGCCTCATGTTTGTAATATAAATAATATTATATTTCATATAATGTAATTAAATTTTTTTACAGTATTTGGAAACTCTGAAACCAACTTACACATCGGTTGATTTGACCGAAGTGGAGTTACCTGAAAGTGAGAACAGTCCTCGAGAGAACCACAGTGCTCTTTTAGATGTAAGTTAAATTTATTTATTAAGAACACGTGATTATTAACTTCCCGTAGGGTAAGTTATAGTAATCGCAAAAAATCGAAAATGAAAATTTTTATATATCTTTACGTGTCAGAGGTTTCTGAATATTTTGGCATACCTTAGAAAAAATTGATGTATGTGTGTCTGTGTGTGTGTATGTGTGTGCGGATACAAATTTTCGTCGACGATTTCGGGAACACGGATGAAGCGATTTGAATAATTCAAAAAACATTCGATTCGTATTGATAATGAGACGTGCTGATTAGTTTTTGGCGGGGGCAGGTCTATCTATTCCGAAGATATGAGGCAAAAAGAGCCAAAAACGGTTACTCAGTTTTTAAGAGAACGGAGCGTCCGATTTGATTATTCAAAAATTTTACTTGTATTAACAAGATGAAGAACTAATCAAATTTTTATGAAGGCAGGTCTAGCGGTTTCGGAGATCTAGTAAAAAAAAATATAAAAAAATGCCATCTGGCGGTCAAAAATGATCATTTAGACATATGCACATCAAATTATCATATATTTTATAGAGATTTTAACAATAAGTATAAATTTTGTTTACATTGCTATGGGTTCTGTACTAATGCTTATCCGTTAGACGGCGGCGCGGCGCTTACGCGCTTCGATATTTCGTCTCTATGCAGTACGATTGCTTTGAAAAAAAGTTCAGAATTTCTAAAATATTTCAAAATACATTTTTCTTCAAAAAGTCTTGTTTTCAAAAAAAAGGAAATTTTTGTCAAAAATTTATAGGCTCTCAAAAATCTAATTATTTTGAAGTAAGTTTTTTTCAAAAATGTTAATCTTTTAAAAAAAATATATTTTTGGTACGAGAAGTTTCAGAGTTTGCCTTAAGGCACGTAGCCATGCGCCCCACTAGTTCTGTTTTTTTTTTAAAAAAATCATTAGATAAACTTATGAAAATAGCAAAACAGTAAAGAGGCCCTGAAGAGTATTCCTAAAGAGAACCTCCATATTTTCACATTTTAATTTTTATAATATCCATAAATGTTATTATTCCTTGGCTTCTGTACATTAATACAATCTAACTCAAAATTCATTCATAATATATTTGCTTAGCAAATATCAATTATTATTTCACTATTTTTATCATTACTAGGTATTTTTAATTCCGAAGGAGAAGAGTTATGTTTTCATCAAAAAATCCGAATCGCTAATTTTTGTTTTCTGGACGTTTCAAGCCATTCTGAATCGAATGAGACCAAATTTGGAAAAAGTATGTGTGTGTGTGTGTGTGTGTGTGGTGTGTGGTGTATGTGTGTGTGTGTGTGGTTGTGAACAGATTTTTTGCCGTAAATCGACGTTTTCTCCAAAACGGCTGGACCGATTTCAAAAATTTAAAAGCCATTTGATGTATCTCGATGAGGACTATCGTTTCTGAGTTTTGTGCGGCGAACGGCCGGGCCGTTTCTTTGTAAATTGCAGAAAAGTGAAAAATTTTTCGTCCACGTTTTAGCCCGCAACTCTGAATCGATTCTGAAAATTCAAAACCGTTCGATAGATATTGGTTGGGAATCGTGCTGATTAGTTTTTGGTAAAGATCGGCCGGGCCGTTTTCTTGTAATAAAGTTTTAAAAAAAAAAATTTGACGATTTTTATGATTATTTTTTTGACGATAGATACCATAGTTTTCTAGGTCATACTAAATATTACGGCCCTACGACAACTGGTTTAGCTTTAAAATTCGTCAAAGTTTGCAAAAATCAGTATGGTCTTTTGGCATTTGTCAAAATTAGACTTTTGATCGACGTTTCTCAAAAACGCCTGAACCGATTTAGAAATTTAAAAGCCATTTGATGTATTTCGGTGAGGACTATCGTTTGTCAGTTTTGTGCAACGATCTGCCAAAGCGTTTCTTTGTAATTTGAAAAAAAACTTTTCGTCCACATTTAAGCTCATCCTACCGAACGATTTTAAAATCAAAAACTGTTCGAAAGATATTAGTTGGGAATGGTGCTGATTAATTTTAGGTGAAAATCTACCGAGCCGTTTTCTTGTAATTAACTGTTGAAAAAAAGTGTTAAATTTTCGTCCACATTCAAACTCATCCTACCGAACCGATTTTGGAAAATCAAAAACTGTTCGAAAGATATCATTTGGGAATGATGCTGATTAATTTTAGGTGAAAATCTACCGAGCCGTTTTCTTGTAATTAACTGTTGAAAAAAAGTGTTAAATTTTCGCCCACATTTAAGCTCATCCTACCGAACCGATTTTGAAAAATCAAAAACTGTTCGAAAGATATTAGTTGGGAATGATGCTGATTAATTTTAGGTGAAAATCTACCGAGCGTTTTCTTGTAATAACTGTTGAAAAAAGTGTTAAATTTTCGTCCACATTTAAGCTCATCCTACCGAACCGATTTTGGAAAATCAAAAACTGTTCGAAAGATATCATTTGGGAATGATGCTGATTAATTTTAGGTGAAAATCTACCGAGCCGTTTTCTTGTAATTAACTGTTGAAAAAAAGTGTTAAATTTTCGACATTTAAGCTCATCCTACCGAACCGATTTTGAAAAATCAAAAACTGTTCGAAAGATATTAGTTGGGAATGATGCTGATTAATTTTAGGTGAAAATCTACCGAGCTGTTTTCTTGTAATTAACTGTTGAAAAAAAGTGTTAAATTTTCGTCCACATTTAAGCTCATCCTACCGAACCGATTTTGAAAAATCAAAAACTGTTCGAAAGATATTAGTTGGGAATGATGCTGATTAATTTTAGGTGAAAATCTACCGAGCCGTTTTCTTGTAATTAACTGTTGAAAAAAAGTGTTAAATTTTCGTCCACATTTAAGCTCATCCTACCGAACCGATTTTGAAAAATCAAAAACTGTTCGAAAGATATTAGTTGGGAATGATGCTGATTAATTTTAGGTGAAAATCTACCGAGCCATTTCTTGTAATTAACTGTTGAAAAAAAGTGTTAAATTTTCGTCCACATTTAAGCTCATCCTACCGAACCGATTTTGAAAAATCAAAAACATATGAAGCCTCTGCCTAGAAAATATACTTCGTCTCCGAGGTCGTGAAATGACCAAGAAATTCTTTACTTTAATCAAGTTATAATAATATCATCGTTTTCTACAATTTGGAAAATAATCGTATGCGTCGATACAATTTTGTCACAATGAGAACCACTTATGTATTCAGATTATTATATTAAAAATAATAAAAAAGAATAAAAAATATTTTTTTTATAATCAATGATAGTGATAAAATAAAATTTTTATAATTATAAAATAAAAAAATATTGTAAAGGCAGATCAAGTTGCTTATTCTAAAATTGGATCGATTAAGTATACTACTACACAACTTTCGGGAAGTTCATGCAACTTGCCTTCAGGCTAAATGCACCTTCAACTAGTTATTAATTCTTTTTTTTCTTTTCAGCTTCGAAGAGATATGATAGAGCAGAAAGAAGGCGAGACTGAATTTGGTGTCAAAACGGTTTACGATTCTGGTAGACGAGTTGCTACCAGGAGACACAAATATTTTTATGAAAGAGTCGATGGGACTCCTTTTTCTTTGGGAGTGGCCCTTCCTGAGGGATACGGGATGTATGAGTTGAGGGCCGAGCTGGAGATCAGGCACAGCTCGATCAATGGTAATAAATTGACATTGATATATATATATATATATATATATATATATATATATATATATACTAGCAAACCCGACGAACTCCGTTTCGCCACCAGATGGTTTTGTGAGAAAGATGAAGACATTTTTTGTTTGTTTTATATTTGAAAAGGAAAAATTATACAACAGTAATGAATTTATTCCAATTACAAAAATGAAGTGTTTTTTAGTTGAACTTCTCTAAGTAAATGAAAGTGAATCCGCAAATTATCCGTTTCATTGAAGTGCTCTTTGGTAAACCACATTTTTTGTTTTTTGGTTCGACGTTAACACAAACAAAGCGGATGGTTTTCCAACTCGTGAACAGGCAACGTATAACTGCCCATGTGAAAAACAATGATTTTCTAAATAATCTATTTGAAATTTATCCCGCAAATACTAAGCGATTGGCCTTGCGACTTGTTATTGCGAACTGGAAATTGCAATCGTTTGAAGTCAAACGGAAGACCAGTCGGAATCATTGGTATGTCACAAAATCGCCAGCAATTTTTGATTTAATGGTGAAATTCAGTGCGTGTACGTGTACATCATTATTCTTTACGGCAAGAATTGCTCGTTGACTTAACCAAGCATAATTCTGATAATTCTCACTAATGTCATTACTCGAATTTTTAATTACGGTGCGTGAAGTTCCAGCAATTTGCATTAGGGCACGATGCCATGCACAACTAATTTTCTTAGCTATAAACCTTGCGGAGCCCGAGACCTTTCCAACGAATGCAAAATTGTCGAAATCGGTTCGTGCGTTCTGGAGTTATTTCGTCAGGAAGGAAAACTCGACTTATTTTTATATATATAGAAGATATATATATATATATATATATATAAATATGTGTGTGTGTAGAAAAAAAGCTCAACTTGATTTGATTTAAATCTAATAAAACATTAAAATATTTTTATAATCAAAAAAAAATTTGAAAAGTTCTAACAGAATTTGCTGAAGATGACACAAATATAGTGTTGAAACTAGTTCAATTGACAAGAGCCTGAAATAATATCTATTATTATTGATTACGGCTTGCTTATGAATGAATAAATAAATAAAGAAATTATTTTATTATTTATATTTTTATCAACATCGAAACAACATTATAAATGTATATATAAAATATTTATTTATGTATGTTTATTAATTTATTTTAAATATTTTTAGTAACCGAATACTTCAAAGGAAACAACTGGCGCATACATCCTGATTGGTATGTAAATTTTATTATTTATTTTATTAAATAATTCATATATTGAAAGGTTGTATTACTATTGTTTTTTTAAATAATTTCAATATTATTTAAAAAAAAATTACTGTTAGTAAATTATAATAACTGTTAGCTAATTAGTGAATTTTTCAATTTATTTTTAACTTCTCCTAGGGTAGTTATAGTAATGGGCGGAAAATCGAAAATGGAAATTTTTGCATTTCTCGACGTTTTGAAGGTTTCTGAACATTTTACTGACATACCTAAGAAAAAATGCATGTTTGTGTGTGTGTGCGGATACAAATTTTTGTCGGCGATTTCGGGAACATTGATCAACGGATTTGAATCATTCAAAAAACATTCGATTCTTACTGATAAGGAGAAGTGCTGATTAGATTTCGGCAGAGGCAGGTGGAGCCGTTTTGGAGATAAAGAGATAAATGTGCAAAAAATGCTAGTTTTCGAGGCAAGGGAGCATCCGATTTAAATGATTTAAACAACTTTGTGCTTATGTTGAAGAAATGATTGTTTTTGGGAAAAGAAAAAAAATATATATCTTATCTATAAAAATATATATTGTGTTCTTTATTCCCAAAAACATTTTTTTTTAATATCGAAAATAATTCGGATTTTCAAAATTTTAATTTGGTACCGAAAATTCCAGCAATTTGAATTCACCAGTTGACATCTGTTTAGGATTGTGCTTAAATTTTTTTGCTCTATTCTACTAATTGATCAGTATAATTTGGCATTAAGGGATCAAAAATTGTTTTTAATTTATTTTGTTTGAAATATTATGACTGAGTACAGTTTAATAAGAAAAATGCATTTTAATAAAGTTTGTAACAATATCTGTGAATCTTATAATATAAAAACAAATATACTTATATAAATTTATTCATAGTACTAAATATTTGTAGAGCAGTATATCAATTTACAATGCAAATAAAATATAAGTAATTCATAGATATTTCTGCTTTCTGCTTGTTAATATTTCACTGATCTTTATTACGTTTTCCATTATAAACAGTCACCTTGTGTCTCTTAAAGTTGTTTGAATTAGCAAATTCCTTATTGCATGTATCACATTTGAAAGGGCGTTCCCCTGTATGAATACGCATGTGCCTATTCAAGTCACCTGATTGTGCATATGTTTTACTGCATATTTTACATTTGAAAGGGCGTTCTCCTGTATGAATAAGCATATGTGGTTTCATACTACATTTTCGTGAAAATGTCTTATTGCATATTTCACATTTGAAAACACGCTCTTTGGTATGAGAGACCATGTGTGCTTTCATATTACATTTTCGTGTGAATGTCTGATTGCATATGTTGCATTTGAAAGGGCGTTCTCCTGTATGAATAAGCATATGTCTCGTCAAAGTGCTTTTTTCTTTCAACGTCTTATGACAGATTTTGCATTCGATAGGGCGTTCTGTGCTATGAGTAAGCATGTGCTGTTGCAAACTTGATGAATATTTAAATGTCTTATCGCATACATTGCATTTCTTGTTACCATTTTTGCCATTTCTAGGTATGTGGTCAACCATGTGCTCTTTCGAATAATTAGATTCTGAAAATGATCTATTACCAATTCCATATTCACAATCGGGTGTCTCAATTACCTCCTGTTTGATTTCTTCTTCGATAGTTACTTCGGAATTCATAAATCTTTCTAGGCAAGTTTCATCATTTTCTAAACATGATTCAGACTTAACAATAACTTCAGAATCACATTCATTTTCAAGTTTTATGTCTTCTATTGAAAGTTCTAGTGGCTCAATTTTAATTTTCTGATAATCCATAATTGTTTCTTCAGACATTTTCACTGTGTATAGTATCTTTTTCAAATATCTCAAATATTATAATCAATCTAAATATACTTGCATTTGTTGTAGAAAATTTTCCAGCTGCTTAAATCTTAAAATGATATTAACACTTTACACGCTTTTTTATCAATAAGAACACGGTTATGGTCGTTCCGAAATCCGAATTCAAGTTGACATTTCGAGCATAGAGTATCTTTTGATAAAGACGCGATCAGAATGATTCTTAGTTAGGGGACATATTGTAGTCGCAAATTTGGCGCTAGTGAGCCGATGAAAAAGTATTGTCAAATGTTTTATGTTGGTCAGTTAACATATTGTGATTCTTCTGTTTTGTTTGTGTTTGTACATTTGTTAAAAATGATTTCATTAACTTCCCGCAAAAATCGAAAATGAAATTTTTTGTATATCTTTACATTTCAGAGGTATGTGTGTATGTGTGTGTGCGGATACAAATTTTCGTCGACGATTTCGGGAACACCGATCGACCAATTTGAATAATTCAAAAAACATTCGATTCGTATTGATAAGGAGACGTGCTGATTAGTTTTTGAAGGCAGGTCTACTCGTTCCGAAGATCGGAGCATTAGATTTTAATATTTCAAAAAACATTTTACTTGAATTGAAAAGATGAAGAATTGTTTACATTTTGGGAAAGGCAGGTTTAGCAGTTATGAACTGTAATAAAAATGATTATTAGACATATGCACATCAAATTATCACATATTTTATAAAGATTCACTTTTCTATGGGTTCCGTACTAATATTTATCTGTTTCAATTTTTAACTGCGACGCGGCGCCCACGCGCTTCCGTATTTTGTTTCTACGCAGCTAACATATCACGATTGCTTTGAAAAAAAGTTCAAAATTTCCAAAATATTTTCAAGTATTAAAAATTCATTTTTTTCAAAAACGTCAATTTTTTTTTCAAAGATTTTAAAAATCTCTAAAATCCATTTATTCAGAGTTCTTAAAGAAAATGTAATTTTTGGTGCGGGAAGTTTCAGCAATTTGCCTTAAGGCACGATGCCATATACCACTAGTTCTAAATTTGGTTCTCTACAATCCTATGAGATCATACAAAAATTTAGACCTGAGCAAATATACAAATATGTTTGATTTGATAATTATGGTGGAATATTATTTTATGATATATTGTATTGCTGGATTAAAATATATGACTAAAATTTATAATAAAAATATCTGAATTGATATAAAATGCAACCATCGCATTTATAGCATTAACACTAAAAACTAATAATTCCTTTTATTTCATTTTATTTCCAAATAACAATTCTCTTTCTCTTCAGGGTTTATTGCGAATACGCATCCTCGGCTCCTGCCTTCAGCGAATTTTCAAACAACCAGCCAGGACAAGATTCGGATCTAAATCCTGGCCTGTTGGGCCCTCCAGAAAAACGGCTCTTACACTTTTTGTCCAGGGCCGGACGTCCTGGTTGGAAATGGATGAGCGTTAGACCGAGAGCTAGGGAGGAACCCAGAGCTGCGAAAACGGATAAGGACGGATATTTCTGTAAGTAGAAAAAATAAGTAAATGTATAATTTTGGTTGTCCTGTAATTTGTCCTGTTCTCTCTGTGAATAATATATAATTTTATTTGAATAAATTTAATTTACACTTAAACTTTTTTTACACAAATGTATTCAAAATACATAAGGACTGGTATTTCCTTAAACTATTAGACATTCTCAATTTGTTTTTATATTTATATTCATACTAGACTGACTCGACAAACTTTGTTTTGCTAAGTAAGATATATTCTAAACAATTTCTAGAGAATCAAAAATATTAATACTTTCAGTGTATAAGGATGTGTTGTTTGAATGCTATATACAATGAGGTATTATAAAAACAATAAACCCCATTAGTTTGTCTATATTTTGTCTGGAAGTTTTATACACTTTCTATAGAAAACATGGTATAATCCAATCCAAGTCTTTTTTGGTCTTTCGACTTATTGATTACGTTTCAAGTCTTTCAGATTATTTTTGCATTCTGGATTTTGCGTATAATTGTAAATAATACTACTGAGCTTATACAAAATTTTCAAATTTCTGCGAAGAGAGATAGAAAATGAATTAAGTATTTCATCTTTGACCTGCTTTTTGAAAAGTTTCAAGTAACATTTGATAAATCAAAGTAAATTTGATAAAAAGTATATATGTAGAGCAGGGCGAGGCACAAAGGTCCAATTTGGTTTTGAGCAAATATTGATCATATTATAAATATCAAACCAATTATATCACAACAAATAACACATTTCAAACGAACAATTATCTGACTACGTTCATTAAAACTGCCAGTTACTTCATCATTGTAGAAATGTGCTTTTTTGATGTCTTTCAAAAATTTGTTATTTAGACCTTTCTACTCTATAGGCGGAGTAACTTGTAACGGCCAGGTGGCAAACAGGTTTAATGTCTTATTCTAATTTTAAAGGTATTTTACAAAATTATTATGAATTTTCAAAGATTACCGTTTATCTTCCGATAGCAAAGTCATGAGAATCAAGGTAATAGCTGGTTATACATCTTTTTCCCTTACTTTCAAATATTGTTGTTAAACAATGCATAATTTTACTGATTTTTGACACATTGGTGGTGGACCTTTTTAACCCCGGACCTTTATATATTACTATCTATTCTTCGATAAATTCTCAGAAATTATAAATGGGAAAATGTTATTCGACAAAATGTCCCTTTGATCGATACCAAATTTAATTTCTGAAATTAAATAACATAATTAAAAAAACTAAAACCTAGAAAATGTTTTATAAATACCAATGAGTATATAATTGTACAAATGAGATTTTTCCGAGCACGTGTTTGAGAAAAATATGCCATAAAGTGCATTTTTATATTAACATTTAAAAAAAGTTATTAAACGCTATTAAACGTAATTGAACACCATCTGTCAAAAACGTTTGACATTTGACGTATTAGCCACCATCCATTGTTTTATTTTGTGGCGATATCAAGCAGGCTGGTTGTGTTTTGTAAAAAACAATCGGACATGTCATGTATATTTTTGATATCGAAATATTTTTACAGTTAATAAATTTATATTTTTTTATTATGTTGGGAGTTTCTAATTTTATATATTATCATAACATTACGACTCCCACATTGGTGACCCCGACGTGATATGAAAACAAAAAAAAAAGGAGTTTTATTTTTCGAGGATTTGAGAAAAATTGATTTTGACGCAGCACCATAATCACTGGTCTTCAGTGACGACCTATAAGGTATGTCCAGTCCAATCCATCATAGTTAACGCACTTACTATCTGGATCAGACTTCCGAGGTTACTCATTTGGTATACCCAGACCTCAGTGTCTATTGCTGACAGTAAAAATAATTTGGAGCCTGAACTTTTCATTGGAATGCAATTCAACCTCTCTTTCTCTGTTAACTCAACAAATCATCTTATAATGCTACCTCCCATTATCGGTGACAACGACGAGTCAAAACAAAATTTGACATAATTTATTGGATTCCACAATTCTGGACTCTTATGTCAAAGAAACCAATGATCCTGATTTGGATGAAGAGCCAACTTCTTTCTCTGATCGGAACTCATCAGATACGAATGCAACGCTTGCAGAAATGGAAACTGTACCCATGAATTATGCATTCTAAACATTAAGTTATTCTGATATAACTAATACCCATAGATCGAGGCTGAATCTTAGAAGTTCACCGACATCGAGGTACAGGAAATTTTCCACATTTTTTTTTTTAGTCAGAACCTTATGCAGAATATGGAGTTGATGGCAGGTCGAATCACCACATACGGTGGATCTGCTGACGAAACATGGAAATTTGTAATTGACCAGTATTACAACACTGGTCTGCTATAATCTGCTTTCCCACCACATTTTTATAACGTGTTTCCCTGTATTTTTTTTTAAACTGTGAGATCAACACTGGGCAGGGAGTGTGTGGCGATATCAAGCAGGCTGGTTGTGTTTTGTAAAAAACAATCGGACATGTCATGTATATTTTTGATATCGAAATATTTTTACAGTTAATAAATTTATATTTTTTTATTATGTTGGGAGTTTCTAATTTTATATATTATCATAACATTACGACTCCCACAATTTAAATTACGCCTCTACAAAAATTTTCAAATTAAAAATGTAAAGTTTCTACGCGATTTTGAAGTAATATCTCACCTTTCCGACAACCTACTGATTAGCATGAATTTTTCAAGACTAAGACTGTGGCCAAATCGGTTTAGCCGTTTTCGAGTTTTACCGAATCATTTGATCGAGAGCTCCATTTTTATATATAAGATTTATATTTATATTTATTGTAGTGTATATTTTTTACATTTTTTTTGCCCAGGTGACAAGAGTTTGGTCCAGAGCCTGGTTCGAGACGCGATGGTGACAGATGGCTTAGACAGGCGCTCCATGGGGTCCAGGCAGAGTTCTCATAAAGAAGACAAACAGTGAGTTAATAATGGTTACATCATTTTTTTTATCTTATTAATATATACTTTGCTTTTTCCATATCTACAAATTGGACGTATTGGCAAAAATATTAAATACTATTATAATTAAAACTGTTAAAATTGTATTGGCGCGATAGTCCAGTCATTTGGTGGAAAAAAAGGCTGTTGCCGGTACAGTACTCCCGGAATTCTGAAATTTGGTAATCTTATAGATTTCGAGGTGCTCTTTACGAAAATCAACTTTGCCACCTCAAATTTGAACGGCAAGTTGCCGCCATATTGGAAAAATGGCGTCAAACAACAGCTTTTTTAAAATATCTCCTTTCTGGCTGATTCTACGATAAAAGTATCTATGTACAAATTAAACTAGATAAAATTTCCTACAACTCATTAGAAAACTGTTTTTTTGTAAAATTGATAGTTTGAGAGTACGGCCGCCTCAAAGTCTTTGCTGCTCTCGCCGTAGTATTAAATCTCTCCATATATGACAGCACTTCGAACTTGACCACATTCTCTCTAATAATTAATATTTTCAATGTTAAATTAAGCGAATAAGATCTAGAAATAAAATAATTCAAATATTTTTCGTTTTCTTTGCTGATTTTTTAACCCTTCAATGGTAAAGTAGCTATAAGTAAGTAGCTTGAAGTGTTAAAAAATCAGCAAAAAAACAGAAAAATATTTGAATTATTTTATTTCTAGATCTTATTAACTTAATTTAACATTAAAAATATTTATTTATTAGAAGGAATGTGGTCAAGTTCAAAGTGCTGTCATATATGGAGAGATTTGATACTAAGGCGAGAGCAGCAAAGACTTTGAGGCGGCCTTACTCTCAAACTATCAAATTTACAAAAAAACGGTTTTCTAAAGAATTGTAGGAAATTTTCTCTAGTTTAATTCGTACATAGATACTTTTATCGTAGAATGAGCCAGAAAGGAGATATTTTAAAAAGGCTGTTTTTTGACGCTATTTTTTCAATATGGCGGCAACTTGCCGTTCAAATTTGAGGTGGCAAAGTTGATTTTCGTAAAGAGCACCTCGAAATCTATAAGATTACCAATTTTCAGAATTCCCGGAGTACTGTACCGGCAAAACGACCAAATGACTGGACTACGACTAGAATTTTGTATTTTTGCGATTATTTTACAAGTTTGGGTTTGTGAGGTAACTCTATTAAATCTCAGATAAAACTTTTTTCATTTTAATACAAACTAATAAAATTATGTAAAGTATAATTACATTAAGAATTAATTTTAAACTTGTCGCAAAAAACGTAACTTATCAACTGAGAATTTATCAAATTTACGACATTTTCAATTGAGAATTATTATTACCTAAAAGCTAATTTACTTAATCGTCGTAAAATGATTTTCTTTGATTTTGCAATCTCTTATTTATCTTCAAAACACAAATTTTAAATAGTCTGCATGTCCTTAGGCGTGAAAACGTCCTAATTTGAATAACAAGTTTGTTTTTGTACTGAGCACAAATTTGCACATTTTTCAAACAAAACCACAAAACTTTTTGAGTTAAAAATTTTCTGTGTTTAATTTTAATATTTCTCTAGCACACCAGGATGTTTTTTTAAATATTTTTTCACAATATTATAATTTTATTAATATTGCTATGTGTCTTGTCTTGTCTTGCACCATTTGTAGCCCAATTGCCACACTTATGGCTTTGCTGCACAGGTAAAAACACTTGGTCGAAAATTATAGAAAAAAGCACCAAAAATCCTTGTAGAACCCTTTATAGATACATCCTTATTCGATAAAAAAATATTTTAGGTGATATGAAATGAATTTGATTGGTACATAGAACAATAATTAATAGAAAAACATTATATTATTCATAATTGTAGAAAAAGCAATATTTTATGCTCTAAGTTTGGATGCAAAAGTGTAAATTCTTGCAACTTAAAAAATATTTATTTATTTAGTTTTTTATTATTGTATGCAGAATATTTTCTAACTTTAATTATACTATATTATGCATATTATTTATAATATATATATACATAATTATATACTATACATTTTGTTGCAAAAGAAACAGTTGCAGAGTTATAGGGAAAAATGTACATATTTTTACTATTGCTCTTTTTTTCAATTTTGATATTTGAGTTTTGAATCGTACGGAATTTGGTATAAAAAATATATTAAATATTGTTCTACGTACAATGCTTTTAAATATCTGCAATTATTTATTATATAATATATTATTATGTTTTGCATATTTTATATTTAAATGTATGACATTCCACTTTGTAGTTATTTCAAGAGTCTTTCAAAGATAACATTTTTTTACCAGATATTATATGAAAAAACAGCCAGTTTTGTTAGTTTTTTAAATCATAGTACATGTGGAATTTATATAAACTACACATTAGTATTTTAATTTTGCTTATTTAAGAATTATATAAAAACTACAATTTGGAATTTCAATATTTAATTAGATGATTTAAAATATTGTTCATGTTCTATTTACGGTGGAGAGGCAAAATATTTCAAATATATATATATATATATATATATATATATATATATATATATATATATATATATAGATATAGATATAGATATAGATAAAAATATTATTTTTATTGAAAAATAATAAATTGCTCATTATTTCTTAAACGTTGTTCTTACGTTGCTCCACCGTATGCAATAGAATTTTTATAAAGAATTTATTTGAATCAACACTTCAATAATTTAATTTATTTATCACAAAAAAATTACCTTAACTTTTAATATAAATATGAATATAAGAACAAACCTAATTTTATAAATTATCAACACAAACACTTTTTTTTTAAATCGTTATCCTTGAATACTTTTCCTTTATGGAAAGTTTACTTTCTAATAATTAATTTTATATATTTCCAATTGTCGACAAATCTTTATTTTGAAATCGAATGCCATGTTCGCGATATGAATCGGTTTAATTAAAAAATTCTTTAAAACTTTTCAAGTTTCAAGTCGAAAAGTTTTAAAGTTTTCGTAAAATCGTTTATTTTCTTAAGGATTCGCGAATTGACAGTTTGACGGCTCCGAAGGAAAATGAATTATGTTTTGAAATCTATATCGAAATGGGAAATTTAAAATATATGTATATATATATATATATATATATATATATAATTATACTTAGTTTATTAATTTTTGTGTTTTCAAGCAATGGATTTTAGTTTGTAAGTAAAGGTAATATAAATATTAATCCCAAATTTTAATTTTTTTCAGAGCAGCTTTATGGATTTTATTTCTTAACATTATTTATATGTGAATATTTTAAAATTTTGGCGATGCAAAAAGATTTATGATAAATTGAAAAAATAATAAAATATACTATAATATTATATAACTATTGCCATGGACGTTAAATAAATAAATAATTAGTGTAAAAGTACGTTTACTTGAGTAAAATATTTTTTTATTTAATTTTCATTGATGTATCTATTTATTTTGTATTATCTATTTATTTACCTATATTTATATTTATTTATTTATTTACAAATTTATTTTTTATCTTTATATCTTTTGGCTTATTTACTTTAATTTTTCTGGTTAGTGATTTATTTCTTGATTTATTCATATGTTTACTTATTTATTTATTTATTTATTTATTTATTCATTTATTTATCTATTTATTTATTCTCACGTTTATTTATTTATTAATTATTTATATATTTATTTTCTCTTTCTTTATCCATTTATTTACTTATTTTTTTATATAAATATATTACTTATAACAGCATACTGGAAAGAATATAAATATAAATATAAATATAAATATAAATATAAATATAAATGTAAATGTAAAATAGAAATATAAATAAAAATAAAGAAAAGAAAGAAAATATAAATATAAGAGAAAGATAAATAAAAGAGAAATATAAATAGAAAATAAAATAAAAGATAAAGATAATATAAATATAAATGTAAATATAAATATAAATATAAATATAAATATAAATATAAATATAAATATAAATATAAATATAAATATAAATATAAATATAAATACAAATACGAATACAAAAATAAAAGTACAAATACAAATACAAATATAAATATAAATACAACCACAAAAATACTAGTACAAATACAAAAACAAAAATACAAATACAATTACAAAAATACAAAACAGATATAAATATAATTATAAATACAAATAATATTTATAATTATATAAAAATACAAATATAAATATAAATACAAATACAAATTCAAAAATACAAGTACAAATACAACTTCAAAAATACAAGTACAAATACAAATACAAAAACAAAAATACAAGTACAAATACAAATACAAAAACAAAAATACAAGTACAGATACAAATACAAATATTAATATAGATGTATTAGATGTATTCAGTGGCGTCGGAACCGTGTGGGCTGTGTGGGCTGTGTGGGCTTGAGCCCACCCATGAATTTTGATGGGGAGGCTCAGCCCACCCATCAAAAAAAATTATATGGGCTAATATCTCTAAAAAAAAATGAGACCACTGGCTGCCTATCTAAAAAAAAAAAAAAAAACGAGCCCACCCATCAAAAATTTGGTTCCGACGCCACTGGATGTATTTATTAGATGTAAAAATAAATATAAATATAAATACTAAATTACAAATACAAAAATACTAATACAAAAATACAAATATAAAAATACAAATACAAAAATACAAATATAAAAATACAAAAATACAAATTTAAAAAAAAAATACAAAAATAAAAATACAAAAATACAAATACAAATACAAATACAAAAATACAAATACAAAAATACAAATACAAAAATACAAATACAAATACAAATACAAAAATACAAATTTAAAAAAAAAATACAAAAATAAAAATACAAAAATAAAAATACAAAAATACATATACAAAAGTACAAATACAAATTCAAAAATACAAGTACAAATTCAAAAATTCAAGTACAAATACAAATATAGAAACAAAAATATAAGTAAAAATACAAATACAGAAACAAAAATACAAATACAAAAATAAATACAAAAATACAAATACAACTACAAATAAATATAAAAATAAATATAAACATAATATAACCAGAAAGTTTACCGACGACAATTTACATTATTCCATTTACAATATCTTTTTCCAACGCCAAAAAAATCCATTTACACACTTTGGAATAATCCATTATTTTTCACCAGGATTTGCTTACCGGACATTGGCAACTTCGATTACAAAATCACTTATCCAAAACATCTCGTACAAAATTATAATTCTACCAATTTTTTTCCAATGCTTTCCAATAAAGACAAGGATATCAAATGTTCGGAGTCAGTTTAAGTTTTGTCGCCACCAGGAGTGGTTTATTGAGATGGACAGAACACGGTCCTGGTGCTAATAACGATATCGATAATCCTTCATCGGATTCACCAGGAGTGTAAGTAGATAGGGGATAGATGATAGATGATATTTTTTATTTGTTTGTTTATTAATTTTGGTTTGTTTTTGTGTAGTCGTTTTGCCCAAGCTAATCCAAAGCCAACACAATCGACTTGGTATCGGAGGGCAGTCGATCAGCATTCGCAGGAACCGGAAAGTTTTGTGTTTTCTGTGGATTTTGCTGATGATGAAGCTGCCACTGATCAAGGTAAAATAAATAAATATATAAATTTTGTATATATATATACTAGATGACCCGACAGACGTTGTCCTGTACCCACGTTCCAAATTTTTTAATATCCTATCCCAAACTTTTCAATATTCTATTTAATGTCCTTCCATTTATGGCCTTAGCATAAGCCAACTGCAGCTTTTTGATCAGTATTAAAAATTCAGAAAGAATAAATATAGTATCTGCGGGATAAGTAAACAATATCACCTTTGTTATTTCCTACTAATATAATTGCTTTAATAATTTATATAATATATAATAGTCGCTTTTTGGCCATTACAATTTCTAAAGTACATTTTTCTTACTAATAATTTAATAAACATTATTGTTTACGTTTAAATCTTAGGTGAATTAATTTGTAAAATCTAGTTCATATGACACTGTTCAATCTAAGATCACGATGAAACAAATGAATTTTTGAAATATTTTTTTGTTTTTAAATTATTTAGTAAAGTAAAGCAAATTGCAACATGCATAAGTTTAAAAATAATGTATATGAAATTTTGGACTTATTGTGTTATTTATTAAACTAAATTTATATAATTTCAACTGCCAAACATCAATTGTATCTTTTTTTTTAATTTCTGGCACATCTTAGCTGGTTTTCGGCAATAATATTGTAGATAATACATTTTTCTTATGAATATGGATTTTATATAATAATATTGTCTAGACTCGCTTAAACTAAATTCATATTTCAAGTGAATCGACATTTTTGGCAGAAGGACAGTTCTCATGTATCAATATGTTTTCAATGTCAAACAATGACATGTCGTTTTTTTTGCATTTTTTCCATTTATTTACGCATTCTAAAAAAAATCCCTTAACAAACTCCAGATAGATTTATCAAAATCCGAATAATCGTTTAGGAGAAGTATATTTATTTAACGTACATCATTACAGAAGAATTTTATATATAATATATATATATATATATATATATATATATATAGGGTGTCCCAGAACTCAACGTTAAGCCGAAACGAATGATAATGTTGACAATAGCAAATAATCTGTTTTTTGTTGAATTAATTGTCTTTAAAACTAAAATCGATCTAAATAAAATTGTTTATTTTTTGTATTAATAATATGGGTATATAAGAATATAAAATTATATCATTTTGTTAATTGGAACCTTTTGCTAAATAACTCTTTTTACTATTAGAAAAATATTTACATCCCTATAGTTGAAAATTATACATAAATTACAAATAATTATTTTTAAAGCTTTTTAATTCTGGTCAGTAATTATTTATGTGTTTTACTGAATTGCATAAAATAAATTCAATTTCAATAAAATTGAACAGTAAATAATTTTAGTCAAGAACTGTTTTTTCTTTAATTTTTTTTTTTTGAATTGTTGAATATTCTTGATTTTTTTTTTTGTTGTTTATTTTTGACTTTTTGTCATATACATTTTTAAGTTAACTTTACAATTTTATTTTATTAGTTTTTATATAATTATATTGAGTACTATATATTATTTTTATAAGGGAGGGAAATTTTTTGCTGTACTATCTCCTAAAAAAATTTAAAACTTGTTGAAACCATTATTTTTTTTTAGAAAAATCACTTTTTGAAAATCTGTTTTTATGTTTACTATATGAAAAAATATATTTTTTACTTTACTAATTTTTCTTAATTTTTTACAGAAGGTGGTCCTGTGGTGACAGTGGCACATGCTGTTTTTGTCGAGCACAAAGGGCATAGGGCTCCAGCAGCTGTCGTAGGGCTCCAGTTTAAACATTCGGCTTTGGCTGGACATTTTGTTAATATTACAAGCGCAGTAAGTCAAATAATTTTGATTTTGAATAAAATCTTGGGAAGCATAACGTCAAATGATGCTTTGTAAACAATTTAATAGAAAACCATAAAATATATTAATAATAATAAAGAAATCAGTTATTGCAAATTATATTAGTGGCTAAAGTAGCAATAACTTAAAGTTGAAATTGAAAAACTATTCAGCGCATACAAAGTTAGAGTCTGTATTATAAAAACATATGTTTTTTCACAAAAACTTATAATTAAATTGTAATTAATAATTACAAAGCAATGAATTAATAATTCTAATTCAACACTTGCACTTGAAAAAAGATTTCATGTATAAGAATGTCTATAGCTTAGTCCTACGTGACTAGTGTTGTTTTTAATCAATTTAAATTAATATAGAATAATAGTATGTAAGTATTAATTAATAGTTCTCGTATAGGAAAGAAGTATCACTCATTTTATTTCAGCTGTTTTTATCTATTTGTATGAGGCAGGATTCTGCAAAGCGTCACTGTGAAATACTTGAATCGTGATAACGGACTCTTACAAATTTATATATTAGGGTGGTCCTTAATATGGACATTTTCGAATTGCTTTGCTCCCTAGGGCTCAAATGCTTCCAAATTAATAAAAAAAAATTTCTACAAGTTTTATATTAACATTAAGTTAGTCCGCGATTCAATTAAAAGTTTCGTATACTTAAGATATAATTAGAAGTCTGCTAAGACAGATGGCGCAAAAATTTACTTAATGACATATGTTAATAATGGATATACGAAACTTTTAATTGAATTGCGGACTATCTAAATGTTAATATTACGAGCTAAAACTTTTAGAGGATTTTTTTTTGATAATTTGGAAGCTTCGGAGCCCTTCGGAGCAAAGAAATTTGAAAATGTCCATATTAAGGACCACCTTTATATATTTATGTATATATATATATATATGCATATATTATTATTATTATTATTATTATTATTATTACTATTTAGTGTACGGGTTTACACGGAAATTGTCGAAAAACCTGCGCAAGTGAAGAACTTGACTGCTATTTACTGGACAACAACGGTTTCGTCCTTCTCAGCGAAGACAACACTCACACGGGTAGATTTTTTGGCGAAATCGACGGAACCATCATGGACTCTTTAGTACAAGACCGCATTTTTAAAAGAGTAGCCGTATTCGACTACCAGGTAAACTAAAAAAAATTATCCCTTATTCCTAATCACATACTACTAAATCTTTTACCCCCAGGGTACATGCACCGGAGACTCCAACCGCGTGACCGGTTCCTGCAGCAGATTGCAACCAGGTTCCCATTGGTTCACTTCTTGGTTGAAACGATGGTTTTATCTCTGGGCCAAAATGACGACGGTTTTGGATCTGGTGCAGACTGTTACGGCTAGCAAGATTTATAATTATAATTTCCCATCTTTGATGATGAACGATAATGAGTATCAGCAGGAGGAGGGAAGGTTGGACGATGATGAATCCTTGTACGATGATTATGAAGATGATAATGTGGATGATGATGATGATTTTGATTATAATCCGGATGAAATGGACCAGGTGGGGAAAGGATAATTGTGAAATAAAAAATCTTGCAATTCCTGATCACCTAAATAATCTTCTAAATTTAAATGTATTTTATTTCAACATTTTTTCTTTATAGTTGAACCAAGATAGAAATCAAGATTTTGGAAAGAGCAACACACAATTTGAGACTGCAAACGTTCATAGAGCCACAATCACAAATAGCGATACAAATTCTGTACCTATTAAAGAAGGTACAAAAAATTATTTATTTATTTATTTATTCAACGCCCAAGGGAATAATACAATATAGTTACATTTTGAAGTGTACAAATTATTTTTTATTTTATTTTATTTTATTTTAAATACATAGCCCACAGATTTCTTCCAAGAGGACTCAAAAATACAATTATTTTACATAATGAATAACAATTAAATTATATACAAAATTACAATATATAGTTATTAACATAAAACGCTTAACATAAAATTACATATAATGCAGAATGTAACAATATTATTTATAAACAGAATAAGATAAAATAATGAGATATTTGAAAAGAAAATAGAAAGGTTAACTTGTTCAGATGGAGATTATTTGATTAGGTGAAGTGTTGTAAATATCTATTTCATTATTAATTAAGTTAAAGTTAGAGGACATAAGTAAAATAGGCGAATTTAAGAGAGAATTAGATTTAAGAGTAGGATAATTGAAAAATAATTGGGCCTTGGAACATCAAAGGATAGTTGGTTAAGAATAAGAGGACAGTCTATAAAATTATTGCAAAGTTTAAATAAGAACATAATTGTACAGATAAACCGACGTGAGGCAAGGGAAGGAATACCAAATTCTTTTAGTAAAATGTTGTGGTCAAAGCCACGTTCAGGGTAAATTTTATATGTTTTATAATGAAGATATTTCAGAAAATTTCGCTGAACCTTTTCTATCGCATCAGAGTTGTTGATTTGATGGGGATACCAAATAATCGAACCATATTCTAATTTTGAACGTACAATAGAATAGTACATGCAAAGAAGTGCATTGTTAGAATTGAATTGTTTACAATTTCTCAGTATCAAACCTAAAGATTTATGTGCTCTATTACAAATATCATTTATATGATCCGAGAAAAACAAACCAGAATCAAATAAAACTCCTAAGTCTGATATTTCACTACATCTATTAATGCTGGTGTTAGATATTTTATAATCAAAATATATTGGTACGCGCTTATGTGAAAAACTAAGAATCTTGCACTTTGATATATTTAAATGTAATTTGTTATAGACACACCAAGAGTGGAAAGAGTCAAGTTGAGACTGTAATAATAAGCAGTCATCAATAGAATTTATTTTGAGATATAGTTTGAGATTATCTGCAAATATTAAATGTGGACAGCTAATAATATCAGATATGTCATTAATAAAAATAATAAATAGTAGTGGACCAAGAATGGATCCTTGAGGAACACCTGAACTGCTATTTTCAATGTTGCTCAAGAATCCATTAAGATAGACAAACCGTTTACGATTATGAAGACAACTCTTAAAAAAGTAAATAAGTGAATAATTATAAGAGTATTAAGAGTTCTAAGAGTTCTAAAAGTCTAAGAGTTATGAAATAATAAATACTATTTATTCTGATAATAATTATAATTATATTTTTTATATCCAGGGACTCCCAATGGCGGTCGACCTTGTGATTTGAGGACTGATTTGTATGTTTTGCAACCTGACAGATTGAACACGAGTGGTCAGAATAATCCTTTGAAGGGAAAGTTGACGAATTGCCATGTTACTGGTTGTGAAAGGTAATTAGTAGGTTGATAATTGTACTTTGATATGGTGGGATAATTACTTATCTTTAACATCAATTGGTTAGACACGTGATTATTGAGGGAGGAGTATAGTAAGATATCATGTGTATTTATTTTTTACTCGATTTAAAAAAAAAATCAAATAATTTACAATTTTGGCTCGAAACTAAAAATGCACTTTATGTTTGGTACGGATGAAGGATAATTTTCAATATCACCAAGGGTGCGGAGAGGGTTCAAAAACCCTTAAAAAATCAGTCACGTGATTAATGGACTTTTCTGTTCGTATTTAATAATTTTATTTCCTTTATATCTAGGCCCTTCAGCGTCCAAAAGATACCCCACAGCAACCTAATTCTCCTGGTAGTCGATACCTTATGTCCATGTGGGTCGAAGCAGTTGCACATCAGATCTGCAGAAGCAACGCCATCTAACGGGAATGGTGCCAGCACAAGTGCAGAGTGTGCAAGAAGTGCTGCCAGGCAGCATTTGTTTAGGCGCAGGCCGCCGAAATGCATCAGCTACCATCCTGAGGTAAAAATTTAATAGATTATAAAAGATAATTATTGGAGAGACCTGATAGAGTGGTAGATAAAATAGATATATAGTATCGGGGGGAAGATAAACTATTAAGGGTATAAAAGGTGGAATATAAAGTTTATGTTAAATAATTGTTATTTGAGGATAATTTAGCAAGAACCTAGATATTTGTATATAGACTAGTTGTATATCTTCTATATATATAAAAATGAGTTGGGTTTTTCTTCCTGACGAAATAACTCCAGAACGCACGAACCGATTTCGACAATTTTGAAATCGTTGGAAACGTCTCGAGCTCCCAAGGTTTATAGCTAAGAAAATTAGTTTTGCATGGCATCGTGCCTTAATGCAAGCTACTGGAACTTCACGCACCGTAATTGAAAATTCGAGTAATGACATTAGTGAGAATTATCAGAATTATGTTTGGTTAAGTCAACGAGCAATTCTTGCCGCAAAGAATAATGATGTACACGCACTGAATTTCACCATTCAATAAAAAATTGCTGGCGATTTGGTGACATACCAATGATTCCGACTGGTTTTTCATTTGACTTCAAACGATTGCAATTTACAGTTTGCCTTGCGTTTGCAAGGGCAATCGCTTAGTGTTTGCGGGATAAATTTCAAATAGATTATTTAGAAAATCATTGTTTTTCACATGGGCAGTTATACGTTGCCTGTTCACAAGTTGGAAAACCATCCGCTTTGTTTGTGTTAACGTCAGACCAAAAAACAAAAAATGTGGTTTACCAAAGAGCACATCAATGAAACGGATAATTTGCGAATTTACTTTCATTTACTTAGAGAAGTTCAACTAAAAAACACTTCATTTTTGTAATCGAAATAAATTCATTACTGTTGTGCAATAAAATCAAAATTTTCCTTTTCAAATATAAAACAAACCAAAAATTTCTTCATCTTTCTCAAGAAACCATCTGGTGGCGAAACGGAGTTTGTCGGGCTTGCTAGTATATATATATACTAGCTGACCCGGCAAACGCTGTTTTGCCTTCAAAAATATTTTGCCGCTTTGCAGAAGTTCTTATAATATACATGATATATTAATAATAATGTTATATTTTTATTACACAAATTTCTTTACATTTTGATAATTAATTCCAACGCATCATAGTGTTTTGATTATTTTAATTTTATTTAAATCAAATAGTGGATTTTTTTTTAATCAATAAATAAATTAGATTTTAGTCTGAATCAACGCAGTACCATTATCTAAATATATAAATTTTATTAAAATTTTATTAAACATTAAACAATAAAACATTTAATTTAAATATATATATATATATATATATATATATTATTATTATCATTATATATTATATTATTGTTTTTTATCCTGTTTAGGAAATTGAAATCCAGCAATGCGGTGGAGCCTCAGCAATTTCTCAAAATGCAGTGGTTATTATTTTAACATTGACGATACTCAAGATATTACTTCATGGTCAAGGAACGTGACTCAATCAATATTAATTATTAAAATCAAGACGACAGGTTTGAGGACAAGGATATTATATATATATATATATATATATATATATATATATATATATTTATATATATCCTTGTGGCAATTTTTATTAGTAAAAAAGTTATTGGCAACTGTTTGCTCAAAGATTTTCAAAGGGGTTATTTTAAATATAACTAAGTAAGTTGTATTTTCAAAATGTAAGATACATATCTGTAACAAGACAGAGTAACAATTTAATATCATTCAATGAACTTAAATTTTGGTAAAAATGAGGTAAAATTTTTCCAACAATTCATATCATTTACTCTATTCAAATCCACATATCAATTATATCAATTCAAAAAGGAGAAAATAACAAAAACTTTACATATCTCATACAAAATTTTTTCCAAAGTCTTTTATTAAACAGTTGCCAATAAAATTTAATTCTATCATCCTCGATCGCTTAAATGTAAAACAGGTTTTACTAAATTACGATTATAAATATAATATATAATATAATGTTATTGGAGTAACATTTATTATTGACAATATTAAAAATAATTTAAATTGAAATTAATAAAATTTATAAAAAGTTAATAAAAAAAAATAATAATGGCGTACGATATTTAAAAAATGACGGTCAATATACATAATATATATTTAAAAATGAATAGATATTTGTTTTGGGAATTTTAAAGGATAATTTGTGTGTTGATAAATTGTTTGTACATTTACAAGGTTTGTTTTAAAGGGGTCCTTGCTTTTATATAAGGAAATTATGAAAGTTAGTCTGAATGTTTTGGACAAATTTAGTCGAAATTTGTACTAATAATATTTATTCATGTTATTAATGATAAATTAATATATATTAATAATTATTTGTGACTTTTTAAACGCTAATTTTTATATAGTGTTATGAAGTAGGATTCTGCAAAGCGTTCATGTGAAAAGTTTGATTCGGGATAAAGAACTTTTTTTTTTGAATATTTGAACTAACTTTGTATATATATATATATATATATATATATATATATATATAAATCTTTTTAAGAATATCTGACGATTAAAATAAAAGTAAGGCCTCTCATTGTATATATATATTGTAATGGATATATAAATGAGTTTGCGTGGTTTTTATTTGTTTGTATATGTGCATATATATGTATGTATGTATGTATATATAGTTTTTTATGTGGGTAATGATACAACTAAAGCCTCTTGAAGCAAAATACGAAATTTGACAATAATTCTTTCGACCAACTTTTCGACGGTCTCGTTGTGTGTGTAAGTAACTATGTGTGCGTCCCCAACGATTTAAATAATATTTATTTAATATTTATTAATATACAATATAAAGATTTTTAAGAAGCTTATCTTCATATAATTTTTGAGGGCTTTCATGTATTAAAAATGACCTTTTTTTAAAATAAAATAGTTTTTTTTTTAATTTTAATTAATATATTTTTTATTTAAATTAATATCTAGCCGTATATTTTGCAATATTTTAAATATTATATTATTTTTTATTTTAAATTATTTTTCAAAATAAATATTTAACTAACTACAATATTAAAAAGATATTTATTTACATTATTTTCTATTATATTACAACATTTTCTATATATAAAAAAAAATAAATAAATAACTAAAATATAACTTATAATATTTAAGATATTGTATAAATTTACATATTCAATATTTATTTATATTTTAATATTTTTAATAACTTTAATTTTGTCAAATTGAATATTAGATATGTATCTTTTAACAATATCTAAAATATTATTTAAACTTTTTATTTTTTTACTAAGTTTTTTTTTAAATAAATATTAAAAATATATCTTCCTCTTTATTCCTAAAATATATTAAAACCAATTCACTTTTAACTATTTTTAATATCTTCTTTATTCTACTTAATATATATTAAATATTTTTCATTTTTAACTAATTTAAAAAAGAATTATAAAGTAAATTTATACAAAATTTTAAATATTATAGAAGTTTTTTCAATATTTTTATACAAATATTCAAAATTTATCTTTTAATCTGAAATATTATTTTAACCGTAACTTTTTATTTTTCTAATAACTGTTTTTTTAATTAAATATATAAAAGTATATTCTTTTTATTCTTTTTAAAATGGATTTATATATTAAATATATTAATATATTATATTTTTAATATATTTATATATCAAATATATTTTCCAATTTTAACTATATTTAAAAATGAGTATAAAGTAATTTTTTATTTTTTCAAACAAATATTAGATATGTATATTTTTACAATATGTGAAATATTATACATTTAACTCAATTTTTTTATTTTTCTGCTAAATATGTTTTTTATAAATATTAAAAATATATTTTCATTATTTTTCTTGAAATATATTAAATATTTTCCACTTTCAAATATTTTCAAAAAAAAATTAAATGTGCATCTTTATAAAATATATATTAACATTTTTTGTACTTATAGTCTTTTTCGAAAATAAAAATTAAATATGTTGTTTTACAATGTTTTAAATATTATATTTTTTTATAATATATAATATTCTCTTTATTCTTCTTAAAACATCCTGAATATTTTGTTCCTTTAATTTTTTCCTATAAATATTAAATACTTATTTATATCGTTCTCTTCGGGACGCACATTTTTAGTAAGTCGCTTTTTTGTAAGTCTTCCACTAATGAAAATTTTAAACTAATTCGACAAAACTATGTCGCGTATATCGATAATAACTAATTAATTAATAGTGAATTAACTAAATTTAACAAAAACTAATTAATTAATTCATTGATAAATAAAAAATTAATAATTGTTTAAAAAACTATTTGTAAGTAATAAACGATACATAGGACACAAAATTGTTGCAATTTTGTATACTATATATAGTTTAGTAGAGATCTCTTAATCTTTTTATTATTAACAAAAAAAGATCTTTTTTAAACAAAAATCGATATTAAAAAGCCCAATCCGCATTTTTGATCGTTCCCCAAAAATTTTTGCAATTTGTTGTAAATATATAAATATAAATAAACTAATATAGATGAATATATAACAAAAATAAATGAAACAATTAATAAATTTAATTAAATTATTAGATAATATATATTAAAAATTTTTGTTCTAATTTTAATATTCTATTATCGCACATAATTTTTGTCGTGTTTTTTGTTTTTGTTTTAAACAATTAATAAATATAAATAAATTTATATATTAAGTTTGTTGTGTGTTGAAATGGAGTTTTTATGAAATTAAATACAATTTTTAATGAATTTTTAAAAATAATGAATTTTGAATATGTTTGTGTGAAAATTCAGTTGCACCGGAAATAAAAGTATTTTTGAAAAGATCTTTGAAGATCTTTGCGATTTAATATAACAACTTTTGGAATATTTTTTAATAATAAAAATAATAACGCAAGATCTTTGGTATATAGGTGAATTTATAAAGATTTACCTTTATTTTTGTTATATGCAAGATCTTTATTAGATCTTTAAAAAAAATTTACATGATGTTTTACGTTTGGAAGAGAAATTGTTTTATGTGGCATTCAATGATCTACTAAAAACTTTAAGATGCTTAAAAAAAATTAAATTTACTAGATCTTTTCAAAATAATTTATGTATGATCTATTTTGTACGGTGCTCTCTTTTGATCCAGAATGATCTTCAAAGATATACTAGAATTTTTAAGAATCTCAAAAAAATTGAATATTTTTAGATCTTTGATTTTGAAAAATATGTGTTATGTGTTCTGCTGATCTATAATGATCTTAAAAGATCTTTGTGGATCAAATTGATTTCTAAAGTTTTACGTATAAGTCGAACAAGATCTTCACTAGATTGCAAATGTATATTAACATTCTTGCTTTATACGATCTTCAAAGATCTGTTTGATTAATCCTTCAAAATCTTTGTTCTAATTTCTACAAATAAAATTGAAGAAGATGATCAATATTGATTATAACGATTTTTTTTATTTTTATCATTATTTTCATAAAATTGTTACAATTATTAAAATATAATATGCGGTCATTCTAGATCATTTTTTTTATCTTTATTTTATACATCGAAGATCTTATCTTATTTATAACATTTTTTTAAATTCGAATATTTAAATAAAATGTGTTTTTGGAAATTTTTTGAAGATCTTCTTAGATCTTTCAAGATACATTTATTAGGTCATTTTAAATCTTAAATTTATATTTGGAAGATCTTATCTTATTTAAAACATTTTTAATTATTTTAATTTAAAGGATTTAAATATACAATGTTCTTGAAATTTTTGGTAAGTTTTTTGAGATTTTAAAAAATCTACATAATATATAAATTTTATTAGCTTCGTTATTTATAGCATTTATTTGTTTTTAATTTCTAAGGATTTATATAAACTCTTTTTTTTTAATTTTTGAATACCTTCTTAGATCTTTCAAGATATATTTATTTGATTATTCGAAATCTTTATTTTATATTTCGATTATCTTGTTTATTTAAAACATTTTTAATTATTTTAGTTGCAAGGATTTAAATAAACTATGCTTTTGAAATTTTTTGTAGATCCCTAGTTGATCTATACAACTTATTTTTAAAATAGATCATACAGTATTTTGAGAACCTAAAAGATCTACATAATATATAAATTTTATTTGCTTCGTAATTTTCAAAAATGATCGCATTTAGACTTGTTATATCAAAAAATCATCTTTAAAATTTAGATTTTTCGATTTTAAAATATCTATTTAATATTATTAATTTATTTCATACTTTTGATAATTCATGAATAAATGATCTTTTGCATAGATCTACAGAGAATTAAATAGATCTACAAAATCTATAAAACTTCACATTATTTATTCGAAAATTGATTGATCTTCTGCAATTTTAAAGGATCTATGCATTCTACAAATTAAGATTTTTCTATTTTTGATAATAGATTGTTTATATAGTTCTAGATAGAAATCATAATATCTTTATATCAATGTTTTCATATCTAAAATATCTTAAATTGTTTATATTTTATTACTTTGT